CATGATATTGCTCCATCGCCGCTCTCTAAACGTCAAAATCGGTCGCACCACTTTACTTGTGCGAGGAAAGTTTGTTGTAGATGGAATTGAACTTGGTACACTTCTTGCTAATTTGAGTCCACTTGCTACTCAACATGTCATGATTGCGGTAGTTTTCATCTTTATTCAAAATGGCACGAAATTTCACGATCACGGCTTCCCAAAAAGCAACTCTTCGCATGTGGTTTCCTTGCGTTGGATTTTTTGATGTCCCGCACCAAACCACCGCCAACGCGTATTCCTCGTCCGCGGTCCACCATGTAGGAGGTTTGTCTTCCGATTGCTCCACCGCAACCGCTTTCCCTTTCCTTCGTCCTCTACCTTTTTGGGTCGTTTTTTTCCCGCTCCCCCCCCCTCCCCGCTTGCGTCTCGGGTACAGTTTCTTGGGTGGGTTGTGGTTGTGTGGTATTTTTTTGCATTGTAGCAAATGGGTTGAAAATGTTTTGTGGAAGGTTTGTAGTGAAATGTGGTGGGGGTGAGGCGAGATTTAAAAAGTTGTCTTGTGTGTTGAGAATGTTAGCGTACATTCCGTATTGTGCAAAACCAAGAGAAGGAGGTGTGTTTTTGTTTGGAGGAGGAGTGTTGGGGTTTTGATCCATAGTAGGGAAAATAATTTTTTTTTTTGAAGATTTGAGAGTAATAAAAGGTTTGTAAAATATAAAGGTTGATGTATGTATATATATAGTTGAAAAAAGATTGAAATTGTATTATTATTACTTTTTTTTTTACATTTTTGACCGTTTTACAACGGTTGAAAAATTAAAAATATAGACGTTGGATCATTTTTGCTTCGAATTCTTCCCGTTGTCGAGCGTTACCACAGTAACGTATTATAATGTAACGCCTAATAACGCACGCCGGGCGCGGTGTTCAGCGCGTTATACCGGCGTTTTTACACCTCCACGTCGGATTAACGCGAATACGCGTTGCCCGTACCTAGCTGCCTAATGCAACGTATCATAACTTTTAATTATAAAAATAGAGACACTTTTGTTTTTCTTTTATTAACAGCATTTAATAAAAAATAGTAAATATAACAAAATATTAATGATAGTTAGAATTGAATCCATTATAGATTTATTGTAACATCTTTAAAAGTATGAAAATAATAATGTGTATGTTTACTAGTGTGTATGTAAATTTATCTGTAAAATAATAATATGGTCCAATGTAACAAAAGTTATAAAATGTTAAACATTTTGTTTAGTTGATATCTTATTATATGATAAATTATGATATTTAGAAATTTTTATTTAAAGATGTTCATTGGTTCAAATCCAATGGATTTCGACGGAACCGCTCCAATCTAATCATCCATTGGATATGGATTTTGTCAATGCAATTTAGTATAAAAAAACCGAACCGAATCGATCCAATTGGATGTTGGATTGGTTGGATTTTATCCATTGGATATTTTTATTGGTTATATCTACTGTCCAACAAATTCTAATCCATTTCTATCAAATAACCAATATAACTATGAAAGATAAAAATAAAACTTCACACAATTACGATAAATAATAATATTGGACTTCAAGTATTCAACTTATTTTTTTTATGGAATAATTAATAATATTAATAAGATTTGGATAATAATATTGGATTAAAATTAGATTAAAACTGGATATCCAATTGGATTTGATCAGTTCAGTTATCTATTGGATTTACAGTACAGTTATCCATTGGATTTACAGGATGATCCAATAACCGATCCAATCCAATTTGATTTTGAAATTTCGCATCTGATCCAATCCAATTCTATTTGGATATCCAATCTAATTGATTGGTTCGTAATTGGATAGGTCGGTTCTAATTGGATCGGTTAATCCTGCACACACCTATTTTTATTATGATAACAAAATATGGTTTGGATCATGGATTGTGTATTTTTGGTTATAATGGTAAAATAGAAAATTAACTAGGTACTAAAATCTACAGACAAGAACGTGTCACATGATCTTGGATTACGCGATGCATAGAGGCCCTTTTGACGTAGAACGGTGAAGTACATTGCTATTACAAAAATATATAATGTACAATGTGAATGAGATGCATAAAATGGTATTAAGTGTTGCATCCAAATATACAATGTTAGATTATGATAATGTGAACGCGACACATGTACGTACTAGATTATGTGTTACAACTTAAACTGTGAGCGCCACATACATGTGGTTAGATGTCGTCTAACATGGCTTCAAATAAGATCTTTACCGGATTTGAGTTGGTCATTTGTGTTTCTCATATATCCTCTTGAGAGATAGAAAGGAGGGGCGATTTCCTGAAGGTGTAGGCCAGAAATCGAAGCTACAACCATAGGATTGCAAGGAGAAGCAAGAATAAAGTCATTTAAGTAGATTAAGGTATCGCATCTCTCATCTAGTTAAGTTTTAATGTCCACCAATGGTGGGGTTGAAAGAATTGATAGAACTTGGTCCAAATGACTTGAATCCGTAATATGATGTAGTAGAAGTGATGCGATCATGATTTTAAGCTTTTTGTGGTAAAGTTATGGTGGAATACATGAATTTAAAGATGATGAACTCAAACTCTAATTGAGTGATATGTTAGATAAGTGAAATTAAGCTCATATTTTAAAAAGATTAAGACATATGGATGATATATTCATGAAACTTAATTAGTTGTGCTGACGTTGAAGAACCAACCAAGTTAAGTGTAAGGATTGTAAACCCTAACTAAATGAATTGTTAAGCCAATTGGGAATAGCCCAATTGGTAGAGGCTTGGCCTCTTAGTATGGGAGAATGGAGATGTCAGGGTTCGATCCTTGGTGCTAACAAGAATTTGAGTATTAACACTAACATCTAACCAGTCAAGCTGCCGTTCAAAAAAAATATACTTGAAATTAAGCTCATGTCTTAATGAACTAAGACATGTAGATAAATTATTGGTGGACCTTAATTGATTTTGAGCATAAAATTTGAAATGAGAAATTTATGTGATTAGGTGAATAATCATTTTGGAATATGGATTTGGATTAAACTCTTTATGAAATGAGACAAGTTATTATGCTATTTGAATAGGTTTTGACAAGGAGAATTGGTCAAACGGACCAAGTGAAGAATAGAAGTCAAAGTGGTAGTTAGTTTTTACTAACCGGCAAAGTGAGTACGTGTGACTTTTTTCCAATAAGGTACATGGCTTAATTAGGAGTTTTAATTCTATGAGTTATTTTGGAAGAATGTGTTGATATTATTGAATAATTAGAAAAGATAAAAGCATTATTTGAGTAATTAATTACTTGATGTTTTTAAGGTTGGTGGTGTAATAAATGTTTTTTGATGAACTCTTTCAAAGCGTAAGAAAACATTTGAATAGCCTTGAAAGTAAAATGTTTTGATTGACGATCATGTGAACTCTTTTCAAAAGAGTAAGTTAAAGTTTCGAAAAGTAAATGATTTGAATAAATGAACTCTTTACAAAAGTAGGTATTGAATATATGTGAATTTAAAAGATTAAGAGCATGGAAAAATAAATTAGTTGAATAAATGAACTCTTTACAAAAATAGGTATTAGTTGTATGTGCTTATGAAAGACAAAAGTATTATATGAGCTTATACTAAATGTTCTAAGGGGATAGGGAATATACATTACAGCCTCACCTAAGCTTAGGTACTAAACCTCTAAAATATGTCGTTTTAACATGCTAAATATGCCCGGTTTGGTTTCACTTGGTAAATATATCATCATCCATAACATTTCTTTCTTTCATTATCGTTTTACCATCTCTGTTTTCTTTCCTCAATTATCGTTTATTACTTCACCCAAGTGAACATTACTAAACCATAAACCTTAACCCTAAACCCTAAATTTAAACCCTAAACCCTAAACCCTAAATCTAAACCTTAAACCCTAAACCCTAAACCCTAAACCTAAACCCTAAACCCTATTGTGTCGATCTTGAATTTACATCTTGAAGTATTAACTGTGAATCCATTAACCGTAATCTTTATATAGTAAAACAATGTATTTTCAAGAGGTTTAGTACCTAAGCTTAGGTGGGGCTGTAATGTATATTCCCTTTTCCCATGTTCTAAATTGGTTAATACATTATTTGATAAATTGCTTATAGTAAGAAAGTCAATATCGATAGATAAATAGAACATGATAATTTATGTGATTGGGTCACAAAAAGAAAAGTGGTGAGCATGTGTACAATTGATGTGATTGCAAAGTATAAATTAGTGTCCGGATAACTGTGTTATCCCAAGAACGGAATAAGGGACGGACCCTACCGAGATCCTATTTCTCTTCGTGAGATAGATGTCGAGAGATACCTTAATGTACGTTGTCTTGGGTAAGGTTTTTGATTTTTGGTAATGTTACTCTACATATTCATGACCTTTCGTTTTAAAGTTTCTACTTAAAAATAACATCAAATTTGTTTCCCTTGCAGTAGGCAATTCATGAACCCAAAATGCACGATTTTAGGCCTTCATTTCAATCATGTTCTTTGGATTTCAGAGCCTCATTGTATATTTTTATATGTTTGGTATATTGCATTGGGTTTAAGATTTTCTTAATGTACAATTTGGGAAATGTTCTTCAGATTTCATATTTCAGAGTTGAATTCACACGCCTTAAGTTTGTATTCCTTCGTGTTGTTGGTAGGGGTTCATTAATAGTAAAAAAAATGAATCTAAAAAGGTTATCATTTACCTGAAAAAATCGTTAAAAATGGTGTTTTCTTCCAACTTAGTGTGATTACATAATAAAAAATGGATTGTATCTTATGCCAAAATTACCATTTTTTAATATTTATAAAAATAATAATAATAATAATAATAAAATAAATAAATAAACATCAAAATTAACTTAGAAAATAATCTCAACTACCATTAAAAAAAATTACCACTAAATATATTTCGGCAAAATCCTTCTATTCTTTTTTTTATTTTGTTGCAAAATCCTAACTTGGGCCATTCATAAAATACTTTTAAATCACAAAACAAATTTTACTAAATTGGTGGTTTTTTTGGTAACAAATGTTCAAAAGCTTGTAGTCAAATAAAGTTAAAAACAAGCTAAGGAATCATTGAATAAAAAGCAACAAAAAAAAACAAAGGAAATTCAACAACAGAGTTGGAGATAATATATGAAATTGTTCACATGTTCCATAAAATCCGTTTATTTGATACACAAAAGCATTGAATCTTGGATAAGTTTTGTACTCTCTTTCACTCATCCGAGACACCTGAGAACAAGATATTAAACAAAAACTTGGCATCAAAACTACTCATTTATGTTTTTTTAAATACAAAAAGGTCATGAAATAACGGTTTTTTTTTTCATTTATCAATGTCATAAAATTCAGAACAAAAAAAAAATACCTAATGTTCATCTCCATGACCATGTCCATGCCCTTCCCAAGGATGCCTCCATCCCTAAATTATATACAAACAAGAACAAATTAATCATAACTCAAATATTAAGACATTTTAATTGAAGTATCAATGGCTTCAATAAAAAAATTAATAAAAAATAAAAACTATAAGTAGAAGAAACACAAGTAGGATGCTATAATACACAAATAAATGAAAGTGAGTTTTAAATGGAGATATAAATTGATGCTCACCAGAACTACAGGGCCATCTTGCTTAGCCCGATATAGAATCCAAAACCTGAAATATATTTTATTTGGTAAGCTTTTAGAATTATAAAACAAATAAAATATATTTATAGGTACAAAAGATAGAAAATTTGATCTCAATGAGCATCAAATGATTCACTACTTTTATCTTTGAATTCAGAAAAACGAAGTAAAAACCATGATTAACATAAATCACGATTGTCAGAGATGAACAAAAATACTTCAATTTTGAATGCAAACATAATTATTTTTAGCATTAGGGATATGAAAAACCCAATTCGTAAACACTTGCAATAAAAAGTTAAAAACTTTAAAAAACTTCAATAATTACATTATTTAAGAACAGATGGGGGTGTACAAGATTGATAGACTATTAACATTGTCCTGATGAGAACTATACGACAATCAAATTCAAAATGAAAAGCACAATGTCTGAATCTCTATTTAGGGTTGAGTAGATCATGTGGTTTCTTTGATTTCGATTTTGATATGAACTAGATCTTTATGAGATCTAATCAAGATATTTTCAATTTCGCCCTCAAAAGTCAAATTTAGGGCAAAACAATACTACATCGAAGATTAAACCACCTAATAAAAAAACATGAAATTAATACTAGACATAATACAGTGATCATCCGATACGCAGAGGGAAAGATGGAATCGGTGGATCAGGTTGAGGAATCCTGAAATTATAAACAAGATGAAAGCTAGAAAAGGGTGGAGTAATTTACCACATCATGGCGCACATGCCCTTTCCAGTGACTGTATGCCATCGCTTAGGCTGATGCAAATTGACACCTTTGTAAGTTCCTTGCCCATACCCTCCTCCTGCCATCTCTCTTGCGCTCTCAAACTGCCTTCAAGTTCTTCGACTATGGCCCTAGGTTTTGGGGAAAGACTACTGAATAGGTTAATCCTGATCTTTGACCCGACCCGTGTCAAGGTAACCCGCTACCAAAGGTAT